CTCACATTTGTTATTCTCAGATGTGCTCAGGTCCCAGAAATGAGTGAATGATTTTTATAATCCAACATCCTCTAGAGTGCCCGCCCTAAAGGCCTCAAGATGACAGAGGAAGGTTCAAAAGATCCCCCCCCCGCCCCCCGCTACAGCATACATACTCCCATTTACTGCTGAATTTTCTCATCCTTTAAAAAAATGTGAATTGCCAGACATGTTGAATCTTAAATTGCTTACTGACATAAAATTTTTTCAGCTGGATGAACACCTTCATGTTGAAAAACCCTAGGAGACCCTGGGGGAGCAATTTTAAAATCCACTCCGAGACACCGACAGATGATTTTGCCCTTTGCTAACTCTCTGATGTTGTTACCGGGAGGAAGGGTGGAGTTCAGTGGTGCCATTACATTCTAGACAAACATTGGATTTATAGTTCTATTGTGTAGTAGCATTGTCTAACACCTAAAGCAGTTTTCCTATCGGGAAATGGTGGTGGGGTGGCAAATAGAGGGAAATTAAGATATTAGAATGCAATTGGGTGATTTTTCCAAAGTTCTTCAGGCACAATTTTGCTCTTTGCTGTCTGGATTAAAAAAAAAAAATGTGTGTGTGCATGCTTGCGTGCGTGCGCGCGTGCGTGTGTGTGTGTGTGTGTGTGTGTGTGTGTGGCTATTTTAGCTGCTGCAGTCCCTGGGCTGCTTAAGCATTAGAAACATTCCAAAAATGCAACAGATTCTGTTTTTGCTGCTATCACATATGCCAGGCATCTGGGGTGAGACAAGGAAAATGGAAACCTGAAAGCCTCCTGAAATGGGATAGCAGGGACTGGGTCTCATTTTCTTTTTCAGTTACAAGGGTTCAGAAATTAAAGGGAAAACATTAAAAAAAGTGGGGGGACCCCCCCCATTCCACATCCCACAGTTTAAGAAAGAAGACATACATCAGGACCTAGAGGAAATGACAAGGCAGATTTACACTAATTCTTTTTTACAGGGTCCACATAGGTGGTATGACTTTAAAGCAAAGAGACTTCCTTTAACGCCACACAGCATACTTGAACTCAAAGGAGTCGTATCCACTTGAAAGTGGCTGCCCAGGGGACCCATGGACAATTCTAAGGAGAATGTGGACACTTGGAGACATCTTCTGGAGTTGACTTCCGGGTCCCTTAATGAGCCACATAAAATTTTAGGCTGGTTAACTGTAGCAACAAATATTTTTTTCCACCCCAATGAGGATTTCTAGCCATTTATAATCCACTTTTTTTTTTCCTGATTTGACCTTAAAGGCTTGGGATTTTTTTAAAAAATCACTCCAAGATCTTTTAATGCAATTCAAGAGAACATGTCATTATTCACAATTATATTAATAACTACTTATTATTACCTGGCATGCGCACTTTACCTACCTTTCTTCTTGTCTTTTTTCTCATTTTACCAATGAGGAAACTGAGACTCAGAGAGATGGTAGGCAACTAGGTCAAGTTAAAAAGTGGCAGAACTTGATCTGTAGCCAGGTCACCTGCGTCCAGAGGTCATGATTTCTGCCTCCTGCTTCATCTAAATGAGCACTCCAAGGTTGTTTTGAGCATGAGCTGTAGCCCTGCAAATACACGCCGATCCCCAGGCTGGCCATTTCAAAAGCACAGTGCTCCTTTGGTGTATGCATTCTTGTTTATTTGTTTAAAGTCTGTCTCATTATCACATCATAAATTTAATGCCTCAGAGAAAACGTTTACAACTGAAAATGCCAGTGGGATGTTACCCACAAATGAGGATGGCAAATGTTAATATAACCATTTGGAACCATGATTCTGAGGAGCTGGAGGGAGTTCACCCTCCCACGTGTACACCCACCAGAGTCTCAAGGGGGCCGGGCTGTGCGCCTGGTTTGAAAATAAAGCAGTGCTTTGTTCTAGAGCCTTTGTTCCTCCAATATTTATGTTCGATTGCAGAAAATAAAGGAGGGCGTGGGATTTTTTGTTAAAGTTGATCAAAGGGCACGAGGGGTTTTGAAATGCAGGGGCTTTAAATAAGTTTGGGAAATATTATGAGACGGAAAACATAATCTGCTTCTGTGTTATAGGTATCTTTGCTTCCCAACAAGAAAACACTGATAAAAGCCAGAGATAAGGAGATCAAAGAAAACATATCTTCAGTGCCCATTGTTTAATAATTCAATGCAAACCTTCCTTATTATGCCTCTAAAAATCATTAGTGTTCTGAGAAGGGAGCTGGCAGGGGGAGAGGAGCTGCAGCCTCTGGGCACAAAAGAGCTGTGGAGTTCCAGGGACACGGACATTCAAACCTGCTCCCTCCTCTCCAGGGAAACCCTGGTGGTGACAAACAAAAGCTCCTGAGCATCTTTAACTGTTTGCCCACAGCTGTGAAAGGCAGGGCGTCTGTCTGAACACATGTGCAGCCTTTGTGTCAACAGTTGGGATTAAGAAATAGCTCCATCTGCACCAGCCTATTGTTTGATTAAAAAATTGAGTGTGTGGCCTCAAGGAAGTCAGGGTGGTTGATTTTTTGCTGGGTGAAATGCTACATTTAAAAAGCTCTGTATGCTCAGGCACTTCAGTTTCCCACACGTTCTGCTCCAGTATTTCCACCAGGGTTTTCCGTTATTTGTGACTAGATGGTAAGATTGAGAGTCTCCAGGGACCATGTCTGTTTTATTCACCGGTATACACTATTGGCATATGGCAGGTACTCAGTGAGTGAATAATCCAAAAGCTCTTGCTGTATCCTGCATGGGGCCCTGAGCTGGTTATTGCCCAAAGCTCATCTGAGATAATTGGGTCAAATTCCAAGAAGAGCAGGAGAGTCAATTTTCAGTGATGCATGAGCAGCATGCCACTGTCAGGTCCCTGGTCCTACTGTTTGGAAAGCAAGCCACTGCTTACCCTGCTGGCTCACTGGAATGAAATTGGCACTTTGACATATCACCCTAGCGGGTTCACCAATCACTAGTCTGGAAATGGAAAATCTGGATTTTCCCTGTCTTGTCACTGGGTTTCAGCCCCGGGCAAGTTCACTATGGATTCAATGTGAACAAAGAAAATGACAGTAAAATATTCTTGGGGTGAAAGGGTTATACCCAACTTTATTTTCAGGTGGCAGGTCAGTCACTAGAATCCCATTCACTCAGAGTGAGTCTGCATGCAGCAAGTCAGTCTCTGCCTCTGGGCCCCTCTGTCCGCACAGCCGTCCTCTGGGTCTCTCTGCACAGCTGTCCCACACAGCTGTCCTCTGGGTCTCTCTGCACAGCCATCCCACACAGCCGTCCTCCGGGCCTCTGTCCTCAGTGCTGCCACCACTCCAGCCTCTGCTCTGCTCTCCTGCAGCCTTGCAGCTGTGCCACCGTGTCATGCCCAGAGCACTGGGCAGAGCTCTTTATAAACAGTCCACAGTCATATATTGCCCACAGGTGTGCGATGAGCCAGTCAGCCAGGGCCAGGTGAGAATCCTGGCCACAGGAGCTCTCATTTTATCCACATTCTCTATGCCTCAAGTCTTGGGGTTGGCCCCCTTGGAGCAGAAACCATGGAGGGGTGGAGCCCTGAACAGCAGCCAGTGCCATCACCATGGCCTGCTCTCCAGAGGGGGTCCTTAGTCCAAGTCAAAGAGGCCAGCCCTTGGGTGGGCCCAAGAGGAGACCAGCTGCAAGCTGGAGCTGGAAATTGATGTGAGCGGAGAAGCATGAGACAGGGGATTCCAAAGCCGAAGAGAGGCAGGAGCAAGGGGGAAGCCTGGGTAGAGCCAGGAGTCAGCAGGAGACAAGGCCCTGCAGGGGCAAGGAAGCCTCCCTGGGAATCTCTTCTACACCACTACTCTGACACGGAAGATGTACTCTAGTCCAACTTTCTGGATTATAAAATAGCCAATACTACAGGGAGGGTATTCAAAGGAGAGAAATCAAGTAAGCAGAACCAGGGCCAGGGATCCAAGTGAGGACATAGGATAATGGTTCTCATTAGAACATTAAAATCACCTGGGGAGATTTGAAACCCCTGGGTACCAGATCCCATCCCGAGATTCTTATTTAATTGGTTGGAAGTAGGGCCTCAATGGATTTTAAAGATTCTCAAGGTGATTCTAATGTACACTAGCCAAGATCAAGCAAAAGTGAACAGAAAGCAGAGAGAATGTGCTTGTCCACTTAACTTCGTGTCCCACAGCTGGGCACTCTCACCTGCTGGTGACTTGGCTGAGAATACCTCACTGTACTGAGCATGACAATGGTTATTCTTGGTGAGTCCCTTAAAGGAGATGATCTCTGGTTTCCTTTCAACCTGGGGCAGCTGAATGTGAGCTTCATCTGCGTTGCCTCTGCCTTGCTGTCACCCTATTGCCTTCCTCTGTCTGGGGCAGAGGACTCAGGCTGTCTGGGGGCCTATAGGAGGCTGGGATGGCAAATGCCAGCCCTGCACCCTACTGGCAGTGGCAAGAGCTAAAAACTTCACTCTCCCCTGGCTAGGGAACTCCTCTTAGTGGCCCACCAGATCTGAGGACTAAGGGAGGGGGGGCAGTGAAGCTACTTTTGTATTTACCATTAACTGGTGTCTTTATCTGCCTGTCAAGGACCACTTGTCTAGAGCAGTGTCTTGCCAATGGGTTTCAGCCCTGGGCAAGTTCACTATGGATTCAATGTGACCAAAGAAAATGACAGCAAAACGTTCTTGGGGTGAAAGGGTTATACCCAACTTTATTTCCAGGTGGCAGGTCAGTCACTAAAATCCCATTCACTCAGAGCAAGTCTGCATGCAGCAAGCCGGTCTCTGCCTCTGGGACCCTCTGGCTGCACAGCCGTCCTTCGGGCCTCTCTGCACAATCGCCCCACACAGCCGTCCTCTGGGCCTCTGTTCTCAGGGCTGCCACCACTCCAGCCACTGCTCTGCTCTCCCGCAGCCTTGCAGCCCTGCCACCATGTCGCGCGCAGAGCACTGGGCAGAGCTCTTTATATAGAGTCAACTGCCATGTATTGCCCACAGGTGTGCAGTGAGGTAGTCAACCACAACCAGGGGAGAATCCTGGACACAGGAGCTCTCATTTTATCTGCAAGGAGAAAGAATGTGTCCTTACCTTAATTCCATCTTTAGAAGTAGGAAATTCGTTTTCAACCAAATGGAATGACTCAGCACTGGTGTTCCATTCTGTCCGTCTGTTTGTGTCCCTCTAACTACAGAGCTCTGACCATACATCATACCTTAGGCAGCTCAGCAGAGTCAGCCCTCAGCCAGGGCCCTGATTCAGGTGATTGCTGGCCCACCTGCCTGCGTGTACCCCCCCCATCGATTACTGAGCGGCATGTATTCCCAGAGCGCCTCAGCTTCATCCTCGGTGTCCTGTATTAGCTTCAGGTTTGCCTCTTTGCCTCCAGAAGACAGTCTTTGGTTTTTCAGGCTTGCCCCTCCCTCCACCTTCCCCTGTGCTTGACTTAGGGCTTTATAGATCCCTGAGTTAGAGCACTCTTACAGCTACAAAACACATAAAGGCGCACCTTCTTTTGTCTCATCTATGCCACCACTTTGACATGGAAGATGTGCTTTCATGGGACCCCTCAGAACATTACCTGAGACCCTCGATGACTTCTTCCTTACCTGTCCCTAATTGGGAGCACCGTTCTGTCTGGGTGACGGCGTTCACAGCACAGCCATATTACTCAATGTCCCAGACCTCACCAGCTGCCGAGTACCATATACAGTCATATTTCTTCCCATGTAAAATAGCAACCAGTTCAGTCTTTTCTCCACCTTCTCTACCTCTCCCCAGATATTGCCAAGAATGCCTGGGTTGCTTGCTTGGTGCATCAGCCTCCTTATAGCTGCCCTCTGAGAAGAAATAAGAACTCTGATGAGAGTCCTGGCAGTCCTACCTCCACACCTCCTGAGCTCTAGATTGCCCAGACAGCCCCAGCGCTGTGGCTGATGTCGCGGGGGAGTGGGGGGGGGCGGCTGGTCTTCCTGCAGATACCTAGACAGGCTATGACTGCCAAAGGGAAAAAAAGAACCCTGAGTTTTAAAAAATCATTGTAATTATTATGACTATACCCAGTGGCTGATCTTTGACTTGATGAACTAACTCATTGGAGAATTGTCCTCCCACTGAGCCATTGGGGCACCTACAGATTTTCACAGATCACGATGGACAATGACAGGGAAAGTCCTGCCAGACAAGCCCCAGCCAGGCTGAGTAGGGCCTGTGCAGAGCTCCTGCTGCCAGCTGCTAGACACCCGCATGCTGAGAGCTTTCTGCATGTCTGGATCTCTGTGGATCTCCTGTTCCCCAAATCTCTGCTGTGTACTCCGCCCCCCTCCTGCAACACCACCTGTTACCCCGGCTGCATTGTCCTGACAGCAAATGCCTGGTCCCTTGTGCTCCCTGCATTCTCTCTGGTCAAATATTCCCTTGCTTGGCCCCATTTTTCACCATACATAGAGCTTGGCTGCCACTGAGCTCCTGGTCACCACTGTGATTTAGATTTGGCCTTTCCAGATAACTCTCAGCCAAATGCCTTCTTAGCTTTCATTCCAAAAGCATGCTGGAAAAAAAAAAAGGCAGATGGAAAAGCGGACAGTGCTCAAGCAAGAGCAATCACCGAGAGGTGCCAGGGGACAACAGAGCAAATACACCAGATAACCCTGCTTCCTGATAACCTTTTTGTCCCTTTCCCCTTATCACTAATTCATTGGGGTTGGAACATTGGTGACTCAGACCCTATGGTGGAACCGAAAATAGAATGGCCAATACAGATTTTCCCTACCCTATGACTTACAATATGAAATCTTAAAAAAAAATTTAAGCATAGTGTTCTTTCATATTCCTAAAGAGCCAGTGAGTTGGATGAAGTAGATATTGAAAACATAATTTAATTTACCAAACCCTCTAATTTATACACAGTTTAAAAATAACTTGACTATTGTATAAGGCTAGATACTAACCAAAATTGTTACCAGGCAAAGTTACAACATCTTATAAAATAAGTACATGCTACCGAGCACTTAGTGAGCTGAATGTTTCTGTGCTAACTTAGCCACCTAGGTTATTCAGTCATTTCTGATGCATATCAACCATACAGAACTATAAAATAAGACAACTTCAAAAGTGGGCCAGAGAAGAAACATTTCTTTCTTTCTAGGGACTCTAATGTGTAGCCCCAAATCCAAATGCCAAGTATTTCTAAATGTAGCTTCTAGAATTTATTTTGTTAATTGATACATCCTAGGGGAACATCTTCTCATACGAGCAATATGGTAATGCCATACTGGTCCATGTGCACTCCAGACATGTGTGATACTGGATCTGTGACCTTGAATCATCACTTTAGATTCGACCTCAGCCCCTTCCTGGCACAGCGTCTCCCGGGGCTGCTCCTGTCCTGATCAGGTACCCATGACTCTGACACGTGCAGCGCTTGTGAGCTTCATCTCCTGAACCACCTGATCTTACCTGCTTCATCCCTCTACCTCATCCCATTCTTTCCATCTCTTTTACTTCTAGCTTGGCTGCCCTTATATTATTTTGTTTTGCTTCTTCAGCTCACTCCTTGGGGAGGCAAAACAACATTGTGATTCCAGCTCTCCTACTTACTAATTCTTGGCAACTTTCTCAGCCTCTCAGAGACTCACTTTTCTCTTCTGTAATGGTACTGACAAGATACCTTCTGATATGGTAACTATTTAGTGTAAAGGAGATAAAGCATGGAAAGTGCTTAGCAAAGTGCCTGGGACATAGTAAGAACTCATTAAAATGTAGCAATTCTTACTACTATTTTGCTTTCCTGAGAAGTTGAGGGTCTCAACCATTCTCTAAGTCTCTTTCATTTGGTTTGACACATTTATAGATTGCTTTGATAGAATCCTTTCCAGAGCAACCTAGAACTGAGTTTCTTTCCACTCACCTTCCACATTTTTTTATACCCAGGCTTATCTCTGCAGGTGAGGCAGACACAGGGTTACGTACAGTCACAGGAGCAACCAGAGCAGGTGCTAAGTTCACACCTACATGTGGAAGGAAGCAGTAGAAGTGAATCTTACAGTATTACCTCATTACCACAAATGCCAACTTTTGTTAAATGGAGAAGCACATCTTGAGAACTTTTTATCAATCATTTTGAATGCAAGGTGATCTAATCTTGATCTTATCAAGAATACCATCTAAGAAATTCTCAATATGGGAAACACTTTTACAGGCAGTTATGCTCTCAGGCAGTTGTTGATTCCACTTACTAAATTTAAATTTGAATAATAACCCATAGTAGTAGCAATCATCCAGTGCTTTTCCCCTTAGGCTCTTGATCACTCATAATAGGCATGTATTCTTCTCTGGGGCCATTTCTCCTCCCACGCAAATTGGATGATGAGTATACTGCTCACTGAACCACCCACTGTGAAGATTTCTCCTTTCCACTGGCTTTCAAGGCTACCTCTTGAAATAGCCACAGACCAACTGACCCATTCCTAAACCAGGTTCTGGCAGGTTTTCAGCTGGTCATGTGGGATGCCTCATAGGGTCATAGGTGCAACCCAGTGCAAATATAGGGAGTGATGTGGGGGACTAGGCTACCTGGTCTCATGCCTTCAAGTCCTGCTTGGGTGTATCATTGTCAATTTATGATGGGCTCTGCTGGAACGATCTAACTTTATAACTTGATGATGTAATGAAATCCAGTTCATTAGCAGGTTAAAATCATGGCCACTTGATGTCTCAGGGTCAAGTGTTCCTTCTATTCCTCCCAGTACCTAGCTGCACACCCAGAGCTACTTTTCAAAGGACATACAATTCTCTGATGTAGATACATGAGCTTACTCCAGAATTTCAGAGATCTGGACTGTGATTTTTTTCTGGAGCTTGCCACAACTTACTGGATTTGTGGAACCACCCCTCCCCCTGACCCCCTATGACACCTCCAACAATATAAGAGCTGGTGAAGCAGGTGACTGAAGTGGCAGGGCTGATGCAGGATGGCCTGGACTTGCTGCAGAGCCCTTTCCTGCTCTGGGATATAATTAAAGAACTGGAAGCCTTCGGTGTCACCTCATATATTGGCCAGAGTAACATTTCTAGGTGTGGAACCCAAAGGGGCAGAAACAGGAGATGTGCTTCCTTCTTTTTCTCAGGGGACACAAGATCCAACAATTTGTCTTTTACCTCGCTTTCATTGATTTTCTCTATTCATTTTTTGCCTCCTCCACAATGAAAAAGGTCCAGTGTAATGAATCTGCTACGAGGTGGCTAGTGGGTCCTCCCAGGAACTCTGCATTGGTCTTCACTGTTGGCAGGTTAGGATCTCAGCAGTAGCAGTAGCCATATCAACCTTGGGAGTAGCCATCTCCACATTGTTGAGCCCTTCAGTAGCTTCTATCCCTGTTGCCATGACTACTTTGGACATGAATTCATCAGGCACTGGCGTGTCTGACTGAGAGCCACAGAATGGGTCAATTTATCATTTCGACTTTTGATGGCCTTCTCTACAGTGAGCATACACAAGGGAAACAAACATCTTTACTCTGTGCCCACTTCAAGATGGGCATCCTTACACCATTTTTCAGTCTTCCTGTCACCAGTCTTCCCTTCCTGTTCTTTCCAGTTCCCTGACCATCCACCCAATGTCTATGAATCAGTGCCTATTTTCAGTCCAGACAGAATGGATTACCAAATGGACTTCTTTCATCCTACCCACTGGAAGGCTTTCCCATAACTACTGTCTTATGTGCACCTGACTTGGGCTATACTGCTGCAGCAGTCCACTTCTGGTTAATATAGGCATACTGTGTAGAAGGACTTGTAAACGAGATCTGAGCTTTTCTCCCTCCGTCAGCTGATCATAATGCATTCCCCCTCGATGCCTTCCATAGGTACTGAGAAGGGGAGGCAACCCCACAGGACTAGGTGCTGTGGGAACCTCAGGTGCTACCCATGCACCTTACTGGGGTCTTTAGGATCTTCCTGAGTCCTCTGATATATTATCATTACTGGATGATGGCTTGCTGCTGAGGATTCTCTCAACTTACAAGTTGCGGGGCCAGATATCACCCAGTTTAGTTTATTATGGGCAGCTCAGTTTGTATATGTCCCAAGAGTCTCTCCCAGGACCCTGTAGCAAATTAGGAACTGTTTTTTGTCCTCTAAAGGAGAGAGCATAGCTTTGCCCCCAAACTCTAGGGATCTGCATGGTGATTCTCCTTTTAGAACTTGCCAGAAGCAAAGCACTATTTGTCCCTGATGCTTTGAGTATGGCAGGATCTGTCGGTCATGTGACCAAAAATTGCTATGGAATCTTCTCTTACACCGAGCACCATATGAAACTGGCAGCCTTTGGGTTATTTAGTAAATGGGTTGTAGTAGCATATAAAAAATTAGGTGCATATTTATTCTAAAATCCAAAAAAGCCTGTGAGTTTTCATGAGATTTATCTTCTACTCTGGTGTATAAATATACAGATAAGGCATCTGTGGTGCTTGCTACTTTCTGCTCCTCAGGTCTAGCTTGGACCTCAGTTAATGGAGCATCACAGTTTATGTGGAATGGTAAAATGACTAAGATATCTGTGGCCTCGATTATTGCAGAAAGCAAGAAAGTTGATGTAACCCTGAGGCAAATCCTTGCCAGTTGAAAGCAAATGGCTGCTAGTGGGTTTTGTGCAGAGAAAAAAGCATTTGCCAGATCAATAACTGTACATTAGGAGTCAGGGTCTGAGATGATTTGCTCTAATATGTATACCAAAGTGGAAAAGCAACTGCCCAAAGACTCCTGATTGATTTATGATAACCTACAGCCATTATTCTCCAAAACTTTTCTACCTTCTACATAGTCCAAACAGATGAGTTAAATAGGGACGTGACAGTAATCGCTGCCTTGGGATCCTTCAAGTCTTCGAGGATGTCACTAAAGTTGACAGTTCTCCCAAGGATGCAGTATCGGTTTTCATTTATGTTCTCATTAGGACAGGATGCTCCAGAGAGCTCTACTTGCTGCTTCCTACTCTAGTAGCCATCACTCCATGGGTCAGGAAGACAATGTGCTGATTCCGTCAGTTGCCTAGCAGGTTTATTCTAACTGAACATTCAGGAACTTGGAAAATAACCATACAGTGGGTCCACAGACCTGTTGCATTGACTATGGGGTGGCCAAAAGATCACATTTCCTGACTTCCGTAAGTTCCTGGTAGACTGGTAGACTGCAGTTGTTTTCTGGGTCCCCGGGAATTAGCATCAAGTTAAAAGGCTGGTAGTTTCCTAGAGTTGCCATGAAAATTATCAAAAACTTATTGGCTTTAAACAACAGAAGTGCATTATTTCATAGGTATGGAGACCAGAAATCTGAAATTAAAGTGTTGACAAGGCTACTATCTCTCTAAAGGCTCTAGGGGAGAAGGCTTCCTCACCT